CTCAGCCAGAGGACTTAGACTTGCACATTCATCACCTGTGAATGCATTTTCCTCTCTTTTTCAGTGTGATCTTCAAGACAATCATGGAAAATAGCCATCTCCACAGCTTTTGGGCAGGTAACATCTTGCCCAGGAGTTAGATGTGACAGTGAGGCATGCCCCACCCCCGGGGCCAGTGTCAGGCAGAATCCCCACCATGGCCAGAAGGTGTGGTTTCCTCTTGTCATCCCCAAGCCTCCAGAGCTGTGCCAGCTCTTTTCCTCTCCTCCTGGCCCTTGTCTGTTCAGAGACCACAGGGTGGGAGACATCTGTGGGTGCCTGGGCCTTGGCACAGAGAGGCCACCCAAGCTGGATTCTGCAGTGAGCCTTTCCACACTCTCACCTGGCTGGAGGATGTGTCCTGGAGCCCTGCCCAGCACTCCCCCATCCCTTCGGCTCATGTCCAGTCTCTGGGCTCACAAAGCCACTCCCCAGCGGACTTTGGGAATGTTCTCTCACACTCTGGGCTACGTCTTCTCTGAGCTTTTACATCCGCTTTGAAATTGACTAGAAGATGTTCCCCAGGGACACAATTTTGAGAGCCAACATACACTTTAATACTGTGCTGCATGCACAGGACCCCGAGGGGTACAGTAGGTATGCTTCTCAGAGGTGGGGACTCCATCAGGTGGCCGAAGGCTGGGAGACCAGGGCTGAGGATAAAGGGACCAAGGAAGCTCCCTAAGGTGAGGGAGGAGGAAACAGGAAATGAGGAAGATTCCCTCCAGGTTGTCACCAGGGAGACCACCCAGCCTCCTCTGCCATCTATCGCTGTGCCAAAAAAATGACCACCAAGTGACCCCCTGGCTGCAAGTCACTCAGGAGTCAAAGTCCCTCATAGCAGCCAAAAATGGCCCTACTGTCCATCAACTGGTGGATCAAGAAGACACGGTAACCTATAGCAGGGCATTGCTCAGCCATGAAGAGAAAAAAGTGGGGCAGGGACCATCACATGCCAGAGGATTCTTTTCATGTGAAAATCCAGAAGAGGCCAGTCCTTACAGATGCAAAGCAAATTAGTCCCCACCAGGGCCCCGGGGAATGGGGAGAAGCGAGGAGTGACTGGGGGTGGATGTCCCTAGGTTTCTTCGTGGACATTAGGAATGTTCTGAAATCAGACGGTGGTGAGGGTGCACACAGCTTTGAGAATCAACCTATAACCACAGAATCAAGCATTTAGCAAGGGTGAATTTGGTGGATATGCAAATTATATCTCAACTTAAAAACGAATTCTAAGCCCCAGGGTTGTGGGTTTGGGGCCCAACCCAGGTCACCTGCTGACTCATGGCTCAGGGAGGAGAGGGGATGCCTCCTCCCTCACAGGCTTCCATGGAGGCACATTCTGGGGGCCTGGAGTCTGGGGTTGCACTCACCCCAGGAACCACACTCCTCCAGGCAAGGCCCCTTCCCTAGGTGCCATAAGGAAGGAGAGTGGTGGTTGCAGACAGAGACCCGGAGGACAGCCCTCCAGCGGCAGGACAGGAGGGAAGGGTGTTCAAGGCCTTCTCTGTATGTTTCCAGAGACTTTGATTTTTAAAGTATCAAACAGGCAATGCTTAAAAAAAAATAAAAAATAAAAATAAAACAATGCAACCAGCCAGAGAAGGGTTCCATTTCCAAAGGGCTTATGTGGTCACCCTGGACAGCCCCATACCCTGCTTCTGGATAAGCACAAAGACCACTGACTGGCAACCTAAGTCCATCTGCAAGGCTCCATCGGCCAGGGATGTGGAGGAGTTGGGGGCAGATGTCTCAGCACCCTGCCCACCTTTACTCTACCTGCTGCCTTCTCATCTCAGCCCCACCCTTCTGCTGGAGCAGGGACAGAACCGCTGGGTGTGCAGCTGCCATCCTCGTGTGGTCTAATGTACCCAAGTGCATGTGATGGTGGAGGCTGGAAAACAGAGCCTGCATCTGGGACAAAACTGAGCTCTGCAGGAAGCTGGCAGCCGCACCTCCTCCTGCCATGTCTTCAGATCAACTCTCATTTGTTCAAGGGACAGCTAGCTGGTGTTCTGTTTGTCTCCTGTGAAAGTCAGCCTTCTGTGGCTATGACCAAAGACCTGGTGGGAACAACATAGAGGAGCAGGAGTTTATCTGGGGCTGGTGGTTTCAGAGGTTCAGTTCGTGTGGGCCGACTCCATTGCTCAGAGCCCAAGGTGAGGCGGGGCATCGTGGCAGGGCATCATGGCAGAAGAAAGTAGCTCAGGATACCTCAACCAGGAAGCAGAGAAAGCTCTGCTCACCAGGGACAAAGTATGAACCCAAAGACATGCTTTGACCCCCCAGCCACACCCTACAGCCTACACTATGGCCAGTTAATCTATTGGTGGATTAGTCCACTGACTAGGTTAAGGTCCTCATAACCCAATCATTTCACTCTGAAAATTCTCTCGTTGTGTAACAAATGTGCTTCGGGAAGACACCTCATTTCTAAATCATAAAACCTCCCAAAAAGAATCCCCCCTGACAGAATAGGCCTGGCCCTTTCTGCCGTCCCTAGATGATCCAGGGTGCCCGGACCCCATCGTGGTTCTCTACTAGGGATGCGGGACGTGGCATGAGCAGCTTCTGACCTGCTCGCTCCTGCTCTGGGCTGAGAGAGAGAGGGAGAGCCGCTTCTCCAGGATTGTGGCTGTGGCCGCTCCTCCATCCTAGTCTGGACTGTCCTCTGGCCTCCCGCTCTTCCCTGCCTGCACATCTGAATTCAAGACATCAATGCCCAGAACAAATCCCATCATCTGCTCTGTGCATCTGCTGGTGAGGCACCTAACCAGGGCAGATAGGTGGTGTGATTCCCTGGCGCTCGCGGGCCCTCTGAGCAAAGTGGTCCTAGCCTCATGTTCATGTCATAAAGCGGCCCAGCACTCCAACCCCATAGGAACTTGGCTTTCCACCAGAGTGAGGCCTTTCCACCTTGCATGTGTGTAATGAACTGGAAGCACTGGATGTGATGACACAGCCCAGGGCAGGAACCTGGCAAGCCTCTGCCCCACTCCATGGTACTGAGGAAAACAGCCTGATGGCAGGTGGCCCTGGAAAACCCCAAAGCCTGACCCAATGGGAGCTGGGAGCAAAACAAGTGGCTGTCAGTCTTCTCAGTGGACCACCCTGGTTACCTCTGGATGAGTGGCAAGGTGCTTGGGTAGTCCTTGCCGTGAACTGAGAACCAAACAGACTGGATCTGTCTGGGGAGCTGAGCCCACACCTGGGGTACTTAGAGCTCACATGAAGGGCCATCTTTAATTATGGGAAAACATAATTAAAGCCCATTTCCAAGGGCACCGATAAAGCATCTGTTATTCACTGATGGAATGAATGGAGCCAGAGTCAAATTTCTATGGCATATCAATGGTGCTGCCTGGCAGCATTAATCAGACAGCTGATTAGCTGAATTCAGTGCTGATAAGTGATCATGAGATGCAGGCCAATTGAGAGCAGTGGGTGGGTGCTGCATAGTGTGAGCAGCTGCCTGGCGCTGGCTCTCCTGGTGGCTGGCTTGGCACGGCTCACGTTGTTGGCTCGCTGTGCTTTGACATGGCCATCAGGAGGCTGGCCAGAGGTTGAAGGCTCTGCTGGTTTAGGTCTCTTATGACACGCTCTAGGTGTGGAGGAACTGTACCAGTGGGTGTGACCCACAAATGCCCGCTAGGTGTAAAACGTTCCCCAGGAGGGTCTCAGCAAATGATGCTTCCTCCCCTCTCCCTGGGAGAGGAAAACGGCAAATAATAGGTACTGAATTTGGGGTAGAACAGGAGTCCAAGGCCTGCTCTGTTACTCTGATAGCCAGTGGCTATCCTCCTCTGGGACCTGGTTTTATCATCTATGCAGTGAGACAATCGATCACATCTGGCTGGGCTATGGTGCTGGATTGAATGACCTGATTTTCTTCAAGGACCAGGTATGTACGTACCCCTCTTCTCGCCCCTCCATCCCATCCAAGTTATTGCCTTGAAAATAGTTGCTGCAGGGCAGCCCGGCTCACGAATACCTGCAGCTCCTGCAAAGGAAACCAGAAGAAATTAAAGTCTCAGGCATCAAGGCATTCCCGGGGCATCTCAGGCCTTCCTCACTTGTAGACACAATTCAAACGAAGCTAGAGAAATCAATTGGCTGCAGCAGGTCAGCAGCAGAGCAGGGCTCTAGAGCCTGAGGCTTCCAGGTGCTACGTGTGGGTGTCGTAACAGAAAACAAGTGATGTGGTTTAAGTGGCACTGGGATTTACCATCTCATTCATAGAAGGGCATCAGTGCCAGGGCTGAGCCCTTATGTACGTGGCACCTACAGGGGCCGGAACCAGTCTAGGTGATATGAACCTAGCTAGCTACCTGCTACAGGGCACGAGCACCCAGAAAATAACTGGAGTGGCCGCAGGAGGGGGCTTTGACCAAAATTCCAAGAAAGGAACCCAAACCAACCAAAACCCAACCAACGAAACTCCCCCCCTTCCCCCCACCACATCAGAGCCACTGCCTCTCCTGCTAGGAAGGGGGGGATGGCAGGTGGGCCAGATATGGAGAGATTCACCAGGAGGGGCAAGAGATGAGGCCCTCAGTCCAGCTTCCTAGGCTCTAGCCAGAGCCTCTCCCTGGCAGGGGCTGGGTCTCCTCATTCTTATCCAGACCCCGGGTGGAGCCTCCCCTAGGATAAGGAGGGTGGAAGGTGGTGGAGGTTACCAAATGGCGTCAGCACACCCTTCCCAAGATGAAGCAAGCAAACTCTGTGGGTTGAATATGGTTGTCTCCTCCAAACCAGTTTAACCCCCACTGCAGGTATGAGGAGTATAGGGACTCAACCTGGCTGTAGTGCTGAAGGGCAGGGCCCTGGGAGGTAAGTGGGACTCCATAAGGCCTGATCCAAGTTATTCAGAACACGCATCATTGTCTTTGGGGATGAATTGACTTATACATTTCTTGAGAGTCTATCTCCTCGACCAGAATGCAGGATCTATAAATGCAGGGCCTGTGATTTTGTTCAAGCTGGAATCTGGGCTGACAAATAGGTAAGAAAATGACAAATGATTGTTGAATGAATGAATGAACTGTCAAAAGGCAAAACTAATGTTCCCCACTAGAGCTGCAACCAGGAAAAATGATATAGTGTCCAGAGCAACGCCAGCCCAAGAACTTAGAATTTCCTTTTGTGTCCCATTCTTTGCTTTTACCTCTAGTAGGAAGCAGCAGAGTCAGACCTTGCTGTTGAATTTGTAGGATGACCAAAGCTTTTTTATGAGCCCAACATATAGCCCTCATTTCCATGTGTTCAGTAATTTATTATGTATAGGTTTTATTATGTGTAAGGAAATCCTGGCCAAATTAGCAAGTTCTGTCTTTCATTTTATGCAATATTAGCAATTTGGAATTTAAACACAAACAAACAAAACATCTGAAATTGCCTCTTTGACTTAGGAAGGAACTCAACACATGTGGAAGCAACAGGTTTCCTTTTTCCAATAACTCCTCTCTCCTATAAATCATGCTAATTGTTTCCATGTGCCCACAGCCTGCAGGGAGCTTTGCAATAGCCTTTGAGGAGATTAGTGGTCTCCGATTTCCTTTTGAAATTCAGAAAAGCATCTAGAAGTAATTTAAGTTAAGGAATTAATGATCTTGAGGTTAAATAATACATGACTTTAAAAAAATAAACACAGGAAACTCTATTAGCCCATAAACCTCTAGGTTTGCACCTCCATTCCTGTGGATTTACCTAACCAAGATAAATGACAACGTCATCCCTCAGATTTGTTGGATCTGTATTTTGTTTGATTGATTTTTAGAAGACAAATTAAATGAGGTCCCACAGTTGGACTTGCAGAGGGGGAGCTCCCTGTTTCCTAGGTCTACTTCTGCAGGGATGAGAAAAACAACCTCTGGGATGCTGGGAGGCCTTGGCCCAGTGTGCAGGGCTTTGTTACAAAGCAGAATGGCCACACAGTCAGGTGGGCTTACCAGATTGAAGGTCATCTTCCCTTTTTTTAAATTTCCCCTTCATTTTGAGTGGCTACATATTGTGTTGTGGTGGGTTCAATTTCCTCTTGTTTTGTTTATTTGCAGGGTGGAGTCCTTAATCCAGGGACCACATCTGGCTTTGCACAAGAAGAGCAATGTTCTGTGCCAAAAGGAAAGTGCCAGCGCAGGGGAGGGGCAGCTGTTGGTCGGCAAGGGAGAGCAGGGGAGAGGAGGCCCCAATCCAGGGCTTTTATTTTTTTGTTCCTATTATAGGATAGGAGGGACAGAGGATGAGGCAGATTCCAATCCCTCTGTCAGAAATAATGGGAGATGTTGAATTTCTCCCTGATGGCGGGAGGCTAGGAACATTTAAATGAAAAATATTTATTCTCCAATGACTTCCAGGCTTAAGAAGAAGAAGAGGAGGAGGAGGAGGAGGAGGATAGCTAGGCACTGATTTGGGCAATTACCAGCATAATCCACTTAAAAAATTAAGTCGTTACTCCCCAGGCCTATGAGAACAGACCTTTTGGGCATGGCTGGCTCTCCAAGCTAAAAGAGAAACAATGAAGCATCATATGCTGCAGCCTGGGCCTTAGAATCTCCAGCCCCACCCCGCGCCCCCAGCAGGAAGAGGCTCCAGAGTTAGAGGTGCTCCAAAGACCTGGGGACAATTTCTCCTTGTGCGAGACTCATATACCCTTGAAGCTGAGTTGAAGGACCTTTCTCCTTTATCAATCAAGGACTTCTTTCTTCCATTTCAAAATTCTTACCTTAAGGGCGCGTGAAACATAACCCAGTGGTCCTTCCTTCTGAGGTTGCTCTGAGCTCACCTAGGGTAAGAGCCAGGAGCCCAGGGCAGGTGCGAACCACCAGGACCCGGGTGCTGTAGCTGGTGCAGGACTGGGCCAGGTTTCTAGTCTCAGAACCCATCGCCTTTCGCTCCCAGACACCAGAGGGAGCCGGGATCCCGCCCTCTAGTTGCTTGCACCTGGTGGAGGGGGAAGCCCCAGAGTCCATAACAAGGCAGAGACTGCTCCAGGGTCCCGCAACTCGGAGGGGAGCTCTGGGAAAACCTGAGAGGATGGAGAACAGGTCAGGAAGTGGCAGCGAGGACAGTCCTTCCAGATCCGTATCCGCAGAGAAACTGCTCTTGCAGGACAAGCCTGGGGCACGCGTGTGTGGCGGCAGCGAGCTGAGTTTTATTTTGTTCCCCCCCAACAGTTAATAAAAAACACATGCGGCGCGACGTGCGAACACATCGGAATGAAAGGATATGCAGTGAAAAATGAGTCTTTCTTTCCACCCTTCGTCCAGTCCCCTTCCTGAAACTGCTAGTGCCTTGTGTTCTGCACGCACCATGCTACACCTAAGCGCATCTGTGTCCATCAGAGTTCCTGTGCTGCATGTTGCTTTCCCCACTAAATAATGCTTCTGGGAGATCCTCCTCGGCAGCCGCATTTGACTTTTAAATCCAGATGGCTCCAGATCTCAGAGCTAAAGCGAGGAATGGCTTGAAGTTGATGTTGGCGTGTGACGACCACCGGGTCCGCAGTGAGCACTGGAGGCGGCGACCAGAGGGTCCAGCTCCATACTGCGTGCAGGGTGCCTGGGAAGGACACTGCCCGAAGGCAAGCGGCTGTGAACACGGCGTGTTGC